TGTGCTCAGGCCCAGAAGTCACTTTCTCTTAGATACTTGCCCATCTTCTCTTACTGTTCTTTCTTTCCCACCTGAGCCACTTGCTCTTCCCAGGCACCTTCATACTGTCTCTCAGGTCTGATCTTTTCCTTCAAAATTTTCCTATCCTCAGTCCCCTGTCTTCTCAAATTTGCTGATCAGTCCAATAAATTAATCTCTATTAATATTTTGTTGTTGTTATGTGCCATTGAGTCATCTCTGACTCATGATGACCCCTCCTTGGGTTTCTGAGGCGGTATCTCTACGGAAGTAGATTGCCCAGTCTTCCTTCCAAGGAGTGGTTGGTGGATTTTAACCGCCAAACTTCTGGTTAACAGTCAAGTGCCTTAGGCACTACACCACCAGAGCTCCCCTCTATTAATATAGCAGTGACCAATTTATTTATTCACCAAATATTTATGAGTACCTGGTACATACCAGGTATTGATCTACATACTTGGGCTACATCATAGAACAAAAAGGACAAAACTCCCTACATGCATGGACTTACATTCTAACAAGATGATAAAAGCTTACAGCTTTTCCTTATATTAGTCTCTTACAATGAAAAATTAACTTTTACCAATTTTGCTTTAAACAGCTTCAATTCCAGTTTTGATGCTTGTTTTGTAATAAATGCTATACTTATAAATGAACAAAAGAAAAGATGTCATAAAAGAAAATTTAATGATTGGAAAACAAATATTACAACAAATTGCTGTATTTCCTTTTTATATAAACCTTTCATCTCTAACATACTGTAATTAAAAATGTGTTTCTATTCTTTGCACTTATAAGTTCTTCAATGAATCCATCCCAATTAAGCTGCTTCTACTTCCATACATTATAAGGAAAATAAATCGAGTTTTCCTTACATCAGTGTTGCATGCTGAGGTTTTTTGAGTCTCTTTAGGGACAAAAATGAGCATTCTTCTGTGCAGTTTGTGGTCATTAAAGTTAGGAGTACACTTAAAGCAATTTCAACAGAAGGAAATAAGCACTGTATTTTATCTTCTATTATGGAATCATACATGCCAATATGAGTAAAATGTCTTTCCTGAATCTGTAAACTTTGTTTCACATAAGAATGAAATTGCCACACTCCTCCATAACTGCTTATGTTGGATCCAGTTGCATATTGGGTGAATGTAACAAGAGTTAGATTTGACAGCCCACCCCACCTCTTATTTATTAGAAATAATATACTCCTAAGAGACTTGCTGAGATAAGGAGCTTAAATGACATGGGAGGAGACACATGTCAACACAGGCATTAAAGTGGCAGGGGCTCCATAGCTTAAGCAACCTTGCATGTGGGTATCCTCATGATCCCGAGAGAACTTTATATCCAGCAGGCATATTCTCATGCATTGGAGCTAGTATCCATTCCGTTTAGTGTTCTGTCAGTCCCCTTCCACTGCAGCACTTGCTTTTCCCTGTGTTTTGTCTGCTTGGCATCTATGGGTATTTGTTTTGGACAACTAGTGCCTCTGTTTTGTTGATGCCCTAAGCACATGTTTATCCTGCTTATTGGGTAATCTGTTCCTGCTTTTAACACTTTCTTACTTTGGCTTACAGTGTTGCTGTAAGATTCTCCTAAGAAAGGAAAAACAAAAACAAAACAAAACAAAAAACCTCTCTGCTGTCAAGTCAGATATAACTCATTGTGACCCCTCCTTGGGTTTCCAAGGTATCACTACGGAAGTAGGTTGCCCAGTCTTCCTTCTGTGGAGTGGCTGGTGGGTTTGAACCGCCAGCCTTCTGGTTAGCAGTCAAATGCCTTTGGCACTATGCCACCAGAGCTCCTAAGAAAGGAAAAGCTGTAAGCTTTATCATCCAGTTAGAATGTAAGTCCATGCATGTAGGGATTTTTGTCCTTTTTGTTCTATGATGCAGCCCAAGTACCATGTACCAAGTACCATGTACTCTTAAATATTTGGTGAGTAAATGAATTGGTCACTGCTATATAAGTAGACGGGAGCTTTGGTGGCATCATGCCTAAGGCACTTGACTGCTAATTAGAAGGTTGGTGGTTCAAACCCACCAGCCACTCTTCGGGAGGAAGATTGGGCAATCTACACACATATTTATACATATATACACACACATATATTTCTATCATATATCCCATTCAAATTTGTGAGTAAGCAGAGGAGGAGGAACCATAGATTACCAATGTTTTGGTCCCTCACCTACCTTAATCTGACCCTGGTTAAGAGGTACCTATCTACAATGAGTTAGTAGTGAAGGATAGTGTATTTGATTCCTAGGGCTGCCGTAACAAAGTACCAGAAATTGAGTGGCTGATAATATCAGAAACTTTCGGTTCTGGAGGCCAGAAGCCCAAAATCAGGATGTTGGCCATGTTAATTCTTGCTGAGGGCTCTAAGGGAGAATCTGTGTCATGGCTCTGTTCTAGTGATGGCCAGTGGTCTTTGGTGTTACTTGGCTTGTAGATGCATCACTTCAGTCTTTGCATCCATCATAACATGGTTGTCTGCCCTCTGTGTGTCTCTTTGTATCTCTTCTCCTCTTTTATAACACACAACTCATATAGGATTGGAGGATGTTGGTACTTCAGTGGTATAATTCTCAACTTCCATGCATGAGACTTGGGTTCAATTCCCAATGAATGCATCTCATGCACAGCCACTCATATGTCAGTGGAGGTTTGTGTGTTCCAATCCAAGGTGAACTGGGAAGAAAGACCTGAAGATCTACTTCCAAAAATCAACCAGGGAGAACCCTACGGATCACAGTGGCCTGATCTGCAAGCAAGTGTGTGAATGATGCAAGACTGGGGCAGCATTTCCTTCCACTGTGTATGGGGTTGCCATGAGTTGGGGGTATGACTCCATGGCAGATAACAATAACATATAGGATTAGGACCCACTCTACTCCAGTATGACCTCATGTTAACTGATAACATCTTCAAGGACCTTAGTTCCAAACAAGGTCACATTCACAGGTACTAGGAGTTAAAACATCAACATACCTTTTTTTGGGGGGGGGGGCACAGTTTAATCCACTGCAGATAGTAAGGGCATGGGGCATGGGTGTGGTTTAGAATGAGTCATTTTAACATATATGCCAGAGATAGGTGCCACATGGACATCTCTAAGGAATACTGAAAAGAACATTTCAGAAGCTGAGAAAAGAATTTTCCCTAGAATGGGGAGAGAAAGCCTTCCTCTAGAGCTGGTACCCTGGGCCAGGCACCTAAACTGAGAAAACAGCCTGCTCATAAAGTCATCCACTTGTGATATTTCTGTTAAAGCAGCAGTAGGTAACTAAGACACTGTCCCTTCTCCCAGGAGTCAACCATTACCCCAGCTTTCAGAGAGAGTGTGTTGTTGCTTCTCTTTAGGTTTGTACCACCTAACTGTGCATCCCTTTTCAGAACAGTTCCATGTTGCCTGTTGTGAGTGCTATACAAATGGAAGCATGCTGTTTGTGTGCTTTGTGATTCTTCACCCCACATTATGTTGGTAAGAGGTGTCCATTTCACTGGGTACAGTTGGCTGTGGCTGATTCATTTTCTTTGCCATTGAGTGTTCCATTGTATGAACGCACACTATTTATATGTTCATTCTTCTGCTGATGGATGTTTGTGGGTGTTTCCAAATGTTGGCTATTGTGAACAAAGCTGTTTCACACATTCTTGGCAAGGAACTCTGTGTTCATGTTATCCAAGGAGAGAGGCCCAAGGAGGGAAAGGAGTCTCAGAGGAGAGGAAGTTTGCTGGCTTCATCTCCCCAGCTCTCTATGTCCCAGATTTGGCAAGGCCATGGACACAATCAACCAAGTAGGTGAATTTTCAAGGCTTTATTGTAAAAAGGAGCATAAGTCACAGGGAGTAGGAAACCTTCCCCTCAACTCACACAATATGTTTTCATTAAGCATCTACTGAGAGCCAGGCCATGTGCTTGACCCTACATGACCTCAGACACATACAAGACACATTGCTTGCCTTCAGGAATTCACAGTCAGAAGCTGGAGACAGAGGCATGCCCGCTTTTCATACAAGTCTCAGAAGTGTCAAAATAATCAAGTAGCAACTCATCCCTCCTGGGACTTCAGAAAAGGCCTCCTAGGGGAGTCACACTTGTTCTGGGTCTGAGGAATTAGGAATTAGGGCAGAGATGGGGAGAGGAAGGCATTCCTGGCAGCTGTAAAGGCCCCCAGAGGTGATGGTGCTTAAGGTCCCGAATAGCAGGGCCCAGACTTACAGGAACATTTCAGAAACAAAAAAAGTTTTAAAATTAAGAAGCCAACATATTATACCTACTTTTAACTTTCACATACTGCGACATTACAAAAATAAATGAAAGAAAACGGAAAATAAGCACCATCATCTACTTCCACCATCATTTCACAAATGCAAGAACATGTTAATTCTCTACTGCTACGTCTTCTCAGAAAGGACATAATTTCCAAATACATGATCCTTCTTCTTAGCGAATGAAGCTAGTTTCATAAAAATTATCACCAAATCCTCATTTTCTATTTTGCCATAGACCTTAAAAAAAATTTGTCATGGACTAGCATCAACTTGCAAAAGAGGTTGGAGGAGATATTTGGTGGGGATCAGAGAGTGACAGGGTTCATCTGGAGCATGGACACGTGGTGGGTGAGGAGGAGTTGGGGAAGAAGAGCGAAGGGTGCCCAGGCTGAGCAGGTGGCCAGGGCTCAGGTGAAAAAGTTAGAGTTTTATGCCAGAGGCATAGGTGACACTGAAAGACTTTGACAGAGGAGTGTTAGGATCCAATTATTTACATTTTAGAAAGACCATTCTGGAGGTAGCATGGAGGGTGGGTTAGCTGAGGAGGCTGGAGAGAGAGTCCAGTTATCAGGGCTCTGGACCTCCTTCCAAAGGTGAGTCCCTGCACCACGATAGACAGGACACCCCAAGCAGGAGTGTGGAGGCAGCCCCCAGAGCCATCCATGAGCTGGGAGTGGAGTGAAGGGGAGGTATGGGCAGCATTATGCTACCACTTGGAAGTAGAACTGGGTGACCTTGGTGACATCTCTGGGCTTGTTGGTGAGGCTGACAGGTCCATCCCCTTCAGACTCTGTGCAGAGGAACCAGCCGGGGTTGGCAGCTGACTCAAAGCTGCTGGTGGTGCCATTGTGTGAGCGGTGGAAGGTAAAGCGCTTGGCTTTCTCCTTGTTCCTACCCAGGTCAGTGATGTTAACTTCCTGGAAGCCAAGACAGGAGTAGGTGAGAGCTGAGGATCTGTGAGGGCCCATCCTGATTACTCTACCTACAATATGGCTATTTGGCCACTAGAGAAGGGCCGAGTCCTCGAAGCCACAGTAAGAACATATGCCCCCATATCCCAGGAAAAAAAAATAACACAAAGAACTGTCTATTGTCATATCTTGACTTTGGAAGTCTGGTCACTATGGCCATGAGTCAATAAGTTTGGTAAACATCTGATACCATCAACAGAGCAGACCGGTAGGGGCTGCTGCTCTGTCAGGATCTGAGCCTCAGAGGACAGGGGTAGATGGAGGAGGTGGGCAGTGTATTGCAGCTCCTTTGACATGGTACACACAATTTCCTGGTTGTCCATACTCCACACAGGGCAGATTGACACCCTCCAAAAGAGTGCCCCTGTCCACTGGTGGAAGGTAGTGACAATGCTACTATTATGGGCACTCAGATTTGGGTTTAGTCCAACAAAACACTGACACAAAATGATCTTTTCCCAGCACTGGGCAGCCACTAATATTGCATGGGATTAAGGAGCACATACTGCCTTGGAAACCCAAGGAGGGGTCACTATGAGTTGGGTCCAACTCGACGGCACATAACAACAACAACAAGGAGCACAGGACCCTGAATTGGCACCCAACTAATTTTGGGTAGATAATAGTTGAAAGAGAAAGGTCCTGTGGTTGAGTTTGCCAGAAGAGTACAGGCCCATCTTGACTTCCTGGTGGGGGGGGGTACTGAAACAGGGGTGTGGAGCACAACGAGTAAGGTTCCATGGTAGACTGTTACATTGGTGACTCCTAGTGACTGGAACCTCCCAATGTTCACTCCCTGTGTAGTCCTCCCTTATTGACTTTAGACTTAATCATTTGACTGGCTTTGGCCAGTAGGATATTAGCATTGTGGTGCAAGCAGATGTTTAATAAACACTTTGCACATGGAAGTGTGTCCTTTTGGAATGTCACCATCCTGTAAGAAACCCCAGACTGACTACTGAATGATGAGAGGTCACATAGACTGAGAGCCTAGAGGATTAGAAGGCATCTTAGACACAACCAGCCCCAGTCAAAAACCTGATCAGTGCAGCCCAGGAGTGACACCAACTCTATCATGTGGAACAAAACTGCCCAGGTAATCCTAGTCCACCCACAGAATCATGAGAATAATTAATCTGTGGTTGTTTTAAATCACTGGGCTTTTGTGGTGGTCTGATATCTGAAATAGGTCCTTACCTCCAACTGGAGTGTGACCTTATCACCAGACTTGACACAGGCAAGCCAGAGTTGCTTTTTGTGGATCCCCAGGAACATATCATCATGAGACTCGGTGTACTTCACTTTTATCTTCTCTGGAGAAGAGCAGAGGGGATGGTCAGGAAGTAGAGAAGAAAGGAAACATAACTGTGAAGAGATGGCAGCCTGCACCTTCCCTAGGTTGTTTTTCTGTCTCTGCATTTAAAACCTCAACATCAGAAAGGCAGCTAAGCACTGTCTTCCTGGTCTCCAACTAAATTGAAGATCAAGCCAAGCACATTGTCCACTTATTCCTCAAGAATTGTCTCCTAGGCTCTGCTACACGTGCTTTTTGTCCTTCCCTCACTTTGCAGGATACCTGTGTCCAGGTCAACAGGTATGCTGCCCATGGAGCAAGGAAAATAGCACATAGTCATGAGTGGGGCCTTAAGTTTGATCCTCAGAAGCCTGGGTGACTTTGGATCTATCTCTTCCCCTCTGTGGTCTTCATGCCCTCATGTGGGAGAACATTCTCAGCTTCTCTGTGCTTCAGAGTGTTTCTTTAGGAGAATTACAAGAGGGGCAGAAAAGTAGGTCTTGATCTTTTTTGAAGCCAGACAGGGGACAAAACAAGGGGGTTTGGAGGATGAGGAGATGGAGGTAATAACATTCCTCATTACAAGTCATCTACCAGGGATGTGAAAACATCCTAGAATGCCAGTGTTGCAGGAATCTCAGATCACATCACCTGACTGCCCTCATTTTACTAAAGGGTTGACGAGGAATGGAATGGACGAAGCTTGTTCAAGTCTGGCCAGCTTGTTTAGAGTATAGGCCAGAGTATGACTGAATGTGCTGTCCATGAATAAGCATCATATCCTAGCCCTGCATATGATGTATTAATTTGGGGTTAAGATTGGGGTTTGAAGTATACAGGAACATGGGAGACTTAATAGGCACAGGAAGAAGGTAAGAGTAACTCTTACCTTCTGGTCCCTGGCCTCTCCCATCTGTGGTGCTGGGACCACTGTGCCTGTGAGTGGAGGCTCCAGATCTAGACTCCATCTGTCCTATCCTTTTGAGGCTCACATATGCCCTCCAGCAGCCAGGCCTCATGGGCTCCAAGTTCAGTACAAGGACCAAACAGAGACTGTAACATTGCATCTAAGGTTTTGGGGGCAGGCCACAATACTGCAGACTCAGAAGCAAAGGGACCTGGTACACACACAACACCACCTTTCTTGGCAACCACTCACCTTCCAATTTAGCATTTGGTGCTTGTAAGTATCCAGCAACTAGCTGCTTATTACTCAGGTAGAAGAGTTTCTGGTTAACATCCCAGATTCTAGAAAGCAAAAGGATAGAGATAAGAGGCAGCAGGTGATAAAACCAGGGCTTCAAACTTATTCTTCCCAGATAAGTCATGGCCAATGAAGCAAAGCTGGAATGGACCCTAATTAGTAAAATTTGAATGAACTGGTACTATAACTAGAATGGGAAAAATTACAGGTTGATATCCTGCTTCAAACTTAATCTCAATCTCAGAAAACAAAGGCAGATCTTGACAAACGGAGTCAGAAACAACCAATGGCTGGTGGCCATCTGTACACTTAACGAATATATGCTGCTCTCCACAGTTCAGGCAATAATCTGATCTCCTGCATCAGGCTCTTAAAAGGGCTCACTATTTCCTCTTCAAAAAGCTCTGGTGGCATAGTACCTAAGGCACTCGACTGCTAACCAGAAGCCTGGCGGTTCAAACCCACCAGCCACTCTTCGGAAGAAAAGTTGGACAATCTACTTCCGTAGTGATACTGCCTCAGAAACCCAAGGAGGGGTCACTATGAGTCTGGTCCAACTTGACGTCAAATAACAACAACAACAACAACAATCTTGCCTCTTCTTAGTCTCCCATTCCAGGACTTTAATCCATAATTTCTCTCCTTTCAGTTACCACTCAGCTTCAGCCAAATTTTAAAAATTTGGGTCTGTCCCCCAATTTCATTTTGTCAGCCAGGACTGGATCAGTTCCACAAGCCCTGGATAAAACCTTGTGAAGCAGCAGTTCCTCAGGGCTAAGGCCATGTGAGGAAAGGGGAAGGGGCTTGTCCAAGCACACATGCAAACACACTTACACACTCACAGAGTCCGGGCCTCAGGCAGAGAGAAAGGGTGACGTCACTTAGTCATTCATTCTGACACTTCACTCCTGGGATGTCACAGGGCAGGGAGGGCACACAGCCAGCACTCCTTTTACATCAACATCACAGTCTGTCATTTCTATAAGTGTTGGTGGCATCTGACCAAGCCCCTGATCCAATTTTAAAAATCCTAGTCATTTTCAAGTACTTTTCAATTCACATAACACGCTTGTACTATTATCTGACATTTACTCTTCAAACACCCTGTGAAGCAGGCAGGGAGAATATTATTAACCTCATTTCAGAGATGAGGAACCTGAGGCCCGAGATGAGTGGGATACTCCATCATGTCAACATCAGATAGGCATCGCCTAGAAACCTGTCTGGCACATCGGACTGCCTGCTGTACCTCTCTTTCCTTCTTCACCCAGCACACACTGCCTGACGCTGGTTCCAACACAATTTCCTGGCTTGTGTCAATTACTTGCTGAGTTGTCAGAGTCCCTGGGAAAGTAATCCAAGCCTTCTCTGAGCCTTACACAGCTAGGATATTTATTTTGAAAGACAAGCCCTGAAAACTGTTTATGTGGCAGTCTCTCCCTGGAATCACAGGTCCCCCCTTTCCAGCCCAAAACTGGTCTGAAAACCTGCACAGCCCAGCAGCCCTGGACATCTGTGACATGTCCCCCTTTTCCAGTCATCCACTCCCACCTTCTCAGGGTCAGCCTTACTTGAAGGTTTCCATCTGGTTGAATCTTCCTCGGGTAGGACTGCCGGCAGCCTCTGAATGAAACAGAAAAAGGACCAGAGAGATTAGGTAGCTGAGAGAACACCTGAAGATCTCCATCCTGTGGCCACGGTGAGACTAAGGAGACTGCCATGTCCGGCCAAGAAGAGCTGCTTATAAAGAAAGTAGCTGCTCACCCAAACCAGGATTCTACCGCCCTGTCCTGCTTTGAGAAACGGAAATGTCCATTGCCAAAAATAGATGCCCTCACTTTTGTCACTTTCAACCCTGCTGAGTGTTGCAACAGCAGTGTTGTAATGGATTCCCTCCCTTTAGCCCTGAGCAATTTCCCCCAAATTGAGATTTCTATTTCCCCATCACTGAGTTCCTGGGAAGAAGACCACATTGAAAATCAAGCCCCTCCACACTCAACTGGTTGACAGGTACCCTGAGACTATTGGTTAATTTTATTAAGAAAAAAAAAAAAAGAGCAGAAACAACCCCCTTTCATGGTTAAGTTCATAATAGGGCTACCTGGCCCACGAACACTCTCAGGTCACTTTGTCTTCTTTGACGGTGGTGACCCTGCCAAACTGTAGACAAAACTCAAACCCAAGCTGACTGTCATCAAGTTAGTTCTGACTCATGGTGATCCTATAGGGCAAAGTAGTGGGTCCATAGGGTAAATGCTGTAAATCTTTATGGGAGCAAACTGCCATGTCTTTCTTCCAGAGGACTTAATGGGTTTGAACCACCAACCTTAGCAGTCAAGTGCTTTTACCACTGTGCCACCAGGGCTCTTTGACTCCAGACAGGAACCAGCAAACTCTGTAAAGGACCAGATGTTTTTGTTGTTGTTATGTGCCGTCGAGTTGGATCCAACTCATAGCGACCCCTCCTTGGGTTTCCGAGGCAGTATCACTATGGAAGTAGATTGCCCAAAGAGAGATAGTATCCAGTGGAAGCTTGCATGCATGTTGCTATGATATGGAATAGGTTTTAGCAGAGCTTTCAAACTAAGATTGACTAGGAAGAAAGGTCTGGAAAAAATCAGCCAATGAAAACTTTAGGGGCATTTCATTCTGTTGTATGTGGGATTATCATGAGATGGGGACGGACTCTGCAGCTAGCAGCAATAAACATAGCCTAGCCAAACTGACCCCTATGACAGAGGGGTAGCCCCAACAGCTGTATTTCATCATCTCCTCAAACTTTTCTGAGAGAGCCGGGCTTAATAGCAAGCAGGATGAGATTTGCCCCTGTGCCTGAGAGATTTCATAGTCACATGAGGAGAAAACACAAAATCATGTGGTTTTCCCAAAATTTGCAAGAATTTTACCCAAATTTAATACCAACTATTATAGAATAATTTATGTCATGAAAAGTGAGAGTCAAAAGTGTGCCTTATGATTGAGAAAGTAGAAAACCTTCTCCTGCCATCAACCAAGTTAAAACATAGGCAAAATCTACCACTGGCTTGGTAAGGAGCCTTTCTCTGACGTTAAGGACTCCCCTTATCCTTTGGGTTTGCAGACACAACTAGGTGAGGTGGAGCAGCTAGGAGGATGTGACCTCAGGGCCCTGACTCTGGACCTTTGATCCAGAGGTTCTCAGCTTGGATGCACTGACGTCCTGGTCCTACTCCAGACTGGTGACTCTGGTGATTGACTTTTTTTTTTTTTTAAACATCCACAAAAAAAAAAAAAAAAACCTCACTGCTATCAGGTCACAGAGACCCCTCCTCGGGTTTCCGAGGCAGTATCTCTGCAGAAGTAGATTGCCCAGTCTTCCTTCTGTGGAGTGGCTGGTGGGTATGAACTGCCAGCCTTCCGGTTAGCAGTCAAATGCCTTAGGCACTATGCCACCAGAGCTCCAGTACAATGACAACCACAACTTTATTCCAATATTCTCCTTTTTTTAATTGGGAAAATTGAGGCTGAGAGAGAGGAAGTTGCTTGAACAAGATTCCCCAATTATTTAGTAGGAAAATCCTAATTAGGTTAAAGCCTTGATTCTGCAGTATTATACTGTGCTCAGGCCCAGAAGTCACTTTCTCTTAGATACTTGCCCATCTTCTCTTACTGTTCTTTCTTTCCCACCTGAGCCACTTGCTCTTCCCAGGCACCTTCATACTGTCTCTCAGGTCTGATCTTTTCCTTCAAAATTTTCCTATCCTCAGTCCCCTGTCTTCTCAAATTTGCTGATCAGTCCAATAAATTAATCTCTATTAATATTTTGTTGTTGTTATGTGCCATTGAGTCATCTCTGACTCATGATGACCCCTCCTTGGGTTTCTGAGGCGGTATCTCTACGGAAGTAGATTGCCCAGTCTTCCTTCCAAGGAGTGGTTGGTGGATTTTAACCGCCAAACTTCTGGTTAACAGTCAAGTGCCTTAGGCACTACACCACCAGAGCTCCCCTCTATTAATATAGCAGTGACCAATTTATTTATTCACCAAATATTTATGAGTACCTGGTACATACCAGGTATTGATCTACATACTTGGGCTACATCATAGAACAAAAAGGACAAAACTCCCTACATGCATGGACTTACATTCTAACAAGATGATAAAAGCTTACAGCTTTTCCTTATATTAGTCTCTTACAATGAAAAATTAACTTTTACCAATTTTGCTTTAAACAGCTTCAATTCCAGTTTTGATGCTTGTTTTGTAATAAATGCTATACTTATAAATGAACAAAAGAAAAGATGTCATAAAAGAAAATTTAATGATTGGAAAACAAATATTACAACAAATTGCTGTATTTCCTTTTTATATAAACCTTTCATCTCTAACATACTGTAATTAAAAATGTGTTTCTATTCTTTGCACTTATAAGTTCTTCAATGAATCCATCCCAATTAAGCTGCTTCTACTTCCATACATTATAAGGAAAATAAATCGAGTTTTCCTTACATCAGTGTTGCATGCTGAGGTTTTTTGAGTCTCTTTAGGGACAAAAATGAGCATTCTTCTGTGCAGTTTGTGGTCATTAAAGTTAGGAGTACACTTAAAGCAATTTCAACAGAAGGAAATAAGCACTGTATTTTATCTTCTATTATGGAATCATACATGCCAATATGAGTAAAATGTCTTTCCTGAATCTGTAAACTTTGTTTCACATAAGAATGAAATTGCCACACTCCTCCATAACTGCTTATGTTGGATCCAGTTGCATATTGGGTGAATGTAACAAGAGTTAGATTTGACAGCCCACCCCACCTCTTATTTATTAGAAATAATATACTCCTAAGAGACTTGCTGAGATAAGGAGCTTAAATGACATGGGAGGAGACACATGTCAACACAGGCATTAAAGTGGCAGGGGCTCCATAGCTTAAGCAACCTTGCATGTGGGTATCCTCATGATCCCGAGAGAACTTTATATCCAGCAGGCATATTCTCATGCATTGGAGCTAGTATCCATTCCGTTTAGTGTTCTGTCAGTCCCCTTCCACTGCAGCACTTGCTTTTCCCTGTGTTTTGTCTGCTTGGCATCTATGGGTATTTGTTTTGGACAACTAGTGCCTCTGTTTTGTTGATGCCCTAAGCACATGTTTATCCTGCTTATTGGGTAATCTGTTCCTGCTTTTAACACTTTCTTACTTTGGCTTACAGTGTTGCTGTAAGATTCTCCTAAGAAAGGAAAAACAAAAACAAAACAAAACAAAAAACCTCTCTGCTGTCAAGTCAGATATAACTCATTGTGACCCCTCCTTGGGTTTCCAAGGTATCACTACGGAAGTAGGTTGCCCAGTCTTCCTTCTGTGGAGTGGCTGGTGGGTTTGAACCGCCAGCCTTCTGGTTAGCAGTCAAATGCCTTTGGCACTATGCCACCAGAGCTCCTAAGAAAGGAAAAGCTGTAAGCTTTATCATCCAGTTAGAATGTAAGTCCATGCATGTAGGGATTTTTGTCCTTTTTGTTCTATGATGCAGCCCAAGTACCATGTACCAAGTACCATGTACTCTTAAATATTTGGTGAGTAAATGAATTGGTCACTGCTATATAAGTAGACGGGAGCTTTGGTGGCATCATGCCTAAGGCACTTGACTGCTAATTAGAAGGTTGGTGGTTCAAACCCACCAGCCACTCTTCGGGAGGAAGATTGGGCAATCTACACACATATTTATACATATATACACACACATATATTTCTATCATATATCCCATTCAAATTTGTGAGTAAGCAGAGGAGGAGGAACCATAGATTACCAATGTTTTGGTCCCTCACCTACCTTAATCTGACCCTGGTTAAGAGGTACCTATCTACAATGAGTTAGTAGTGAAGGATAGTGTATTTGATTCCTAGGGCTGCCGTAACAAAGTACCAGAAATTGAGTGGCTGATAATATCAGAAACTTTCGGTTCTGGAGGCCAGAAGCCCAAAATCAGGATGTTGGCCATGTTAATTCTTGCTGAGGGCTCTAAGGGAGAATCTGTGTCATGGCTCTGTTCTAGTGATGGCCAGTGGTCTTTGGTGTTACTTGGCTTGTAGATGCATCACTTCAGTCTTTGCATCCATCATAACATGGTTGTCTGCCCTCTGTGTGTCTCTTTGTATCTCTTCTCCTCTTTTATAACACACAACTCATATAGGATTGGAGGATGTTGGTACTTCAGTGGTATAATTCTCAACTTCCATGCATGAGACTTGGGTTCAATTCCCAATGAATGCATCTCATGCACAGCCACTCATATGTCAGTGGAGGTTTGTGTGTTCCAATCCAAGGTGAACTGGGAAGAAAGACCTGAAGATCTACTTCCAAAAATCAACCAGGGAGAACCCTACGGATCACAGTGGCCTGATCTGCAAGCAAGTGTGTGAATGATGCAAGACTGGGGCAGCATTTCCTTCCACTGTGTATGGGGTTGCCATGAGTTGGGGGTATGACTCCATGGCAGATAACAATAACATATAGGATTAGGACCCACTCTACTCCAGTATGACCTCATGTTAACTGATAACATCTTCAAGGACCTTAGTTCCAAACAAGGTCACATTCACAGGTACTAGGAGTTAAAACATCAACATACCTTTTTT